CGGGAACCAGTCTCCACATGGGATCCGAACCCTCGGCAGGAGTGCCGCTGCGCTCCCAAGCAGCGCACTCTCCAGTGCGCCACCGGGCCGGCCCCTAAGAGAAGAATTTTAATACAAGTCTTCTGGAATCTAAAACACATTTTTCTGGGGGTCTTAGGTCATAGCTTCTTCCTATGCCCCCCCCCCCCAAACAGCATTGGCTGTATCTGAAAATGTTTATATGGAATAGGAGATTAGAAAGAAAAAAGCTGGACATGGGTTTCCATGCTCCCCACTGACACGCTGATGTGACTAACTCACCTGTATCACAAACTTTATGCAGCAAGCATTTATCTTCTTCATTCCAGGTATCCAGGTATTCATCCAGGCCACAGGGAAGACATACACTGTCAGAGGTAGTAGTGCATTTAGAAGACATGTACTTTCCTTAAATTAGAAGGGAGAAAAGTGCACCAATCAAAAAACAAAACAACGACAAATAAAAAGCAACACAAAACAACGAAAACAAAATGCACCAATCTACTGGGCCAATTTATCTGACCATGATTCCAGGAAGCCCCCCGAAAATGACATGATACGTGAGACGAGGCCACACCGCACAGTGAATGCAGTACCCAGGCTCCTCAGGCCCCTCAGCTGGCTAAAATAATCTCTCCTGGGTTTGCTGTGCCTGTGGTCACAGCGATCTCTCAGTGCTACTAAGTAAAAAACCAGCCATCCTTTGTACCCCAAAACTCTGCTGACTAAAGAGAACTATGGTTTTAAACTGGGCCCTGCAGAACTTGAGGGGTTCCCTGGAACCCACTAAGGGAATAAGGGGGCTAAGCAAGAGGAACTCCATGACCCAATCCCATCTTCAAACTCTTCTCTACCTTCAATCTGGATAGTTAACTTCTTGTGTCCTACATACACTATGTGCTCATGGTTACTTAGTTTGGCCAGAGTAATCACATCCACACACACAATCGCACACACACTTGAAAATCACTGAATCTTAGTTCTGCACATCCAAGAAATATTTATAGCCAAAATATCAAAAGGTTCTTGTTATAAAGTAAGTCACCTTCCCCTTCTCTCCCCTGAACAATGATAGAGCAAGGACCCAGTGGAATAGGGACTTCACTGGGGTTGTAGAAACACTCCGCCACACTTCTGACAGAACTACTTCAGGAAGCTGACAGCCAGTCCACCTTCTGCTCCTCAG